CGGAGGGGGAGAATGGAGGGGGCAGGGGCAGGGGGACGGGTGGGGAGAAAGGAGGGGGCAAGGGCAGTGGGGGGGTGGCGCCCGGGGCAGCACGGCGCCCGGCCGGACACACAGCGGGGCGGGGGAGTGGACGAGACAGGGGCACTGGGAAGGGGTAGAGGACGGGGCGGGTCAGTGAGGCGGGCGGGGACGGAGAGGGCAGACGGGGAAGTGGCAGGAAGGGCGGGGTGCGGGAAAGGACAGTGCGGACGCGTGGAGGAGGGGCAGATCAGACACTTCTTTTCGTTGCGGGAAGTCGGGGTGTCTGCATTGTATGGTCGGGGGGTGGTGGCGTTGGGGTCTCTACACGGAGCTGCCTGTCTCTGGTGCTGGGACCCCAGTCTCTTGGGGCGGGCTGCCTTTGCTCGCGGGTCTCACTCCTTGCTTCACAGCTCGTTTGTTTTGTTGCGGAGCCTTTTCTCAGCTGAGACCCCCACCCTGGCTGGCCTGTGCTGCTGTTGCGCTTTGAACGTTATGCTAAGCATTTTGGAGCATTTAGTTTGAACCTGTGTAAAACACTCCTGGGCAGATAAACGGCCCGGGAGAGTAGAGGGGTGGATTTTAGCGATGCTTCATTCTGAATTTTTGCTTGGTCTGAAATGAGAGAAGAAGTTTCTTTCTGTGTGAATTAAACAGTCTGTAAAATACTAGTTCTTTCTTATCGTAATCACTCGGAGGGGCCTGTGCAAAGATACTCAGTGCAGAAGGTCCCTTATCATGATAGCCAGAGACCCGACAACACACAGATACCTCTAAGAAGTGTTAACAAGAACAGCCGGGATTCTGGAAACTGGAAGCTCTCTAAAAATCCAGTGCAGTCTTCACCCTTGAGGTTACTCACTTCTTGCAATTGAACAATGAAAATAGGGCGATTGGGTTGCAGGATTTGGTTTTTTTTATTGTAGCCTTTCTGTAATTGTTCCAGTGAGTTAATGCACTTCCTCATGTTTGGATTGCAGATACTGCTGGGGAAGCTTTGTTTATTTAAAACTGACCTGCTGGGAGGGGGTTGTTCCTTTTGTGCTGCTTTGTGATGTGTAACTGTAGCCTGAACATTTTAAGGTTTTATTTGCTTTCTGTGACCTTATAGTTAGGAATTTCAAGCTTGAGATGTGAATTTGGACAGAGGGAGACTGATCTGAAATACTGAGCTGGCAGCATAGAGATGGTAGTTGAACTTCTTTGCAATTTAGTTTACTTGGCTATAAGGTATAGATGAAGAGCCCTATACAACTTCCACAGAAAGATGGAGTGGGGATGAGGATTTTCAGAAAGACCTATTGATGGAGGATTAGAGATGTAGGGGAATCAGAAGAGAACAGTTCACTGCTGAGGAAAAGGGTTTTAACTCATGCTCACTAAGGCACAGCAATTTAGCTTTAAACTTGGGTTAGCAGTGCTAGCTCATCTGAGGCTGCCCTATAGACTTTAACAGTATACTAATAAGAGTTAAATGCTGTGTTGCTGTATCTTCACTGTTTTGTCCTAAATTAGCTACCCTTGAGTTAAGCATACTTTTTTTATGTAGACATACCCAAGAGTGGTGAAAAGGCATACTTGCATGCAGAATATTCTCAATAAAAACTTATTGAAACTAAAAACAGTGTACCATCCTATGTATTTTCGGGTTTAAAAATGTGGCTCTCAAAATAAATTTCAATCGTGGTTTTGGCGAGATTTGGCTCAGTTGAAAAAAAAGGTTGCCCACCACTGAGCTATACAATCCCCCCTTCTCCCGGCAGTTCTTTTTCTTCCTTTCCCCACCATGATAAGAAAGGTGTTAATTGGCCACCTCACCTTGAATGGTCCCTTGAAAAGTCCTTTGAAAGATGTATACAGTAATTCCTCACTTAACATGTGCCTGTTTAACATGTTTTCATGATAGCACAATTTTTTTTTAGGGAACATTTTTCAAACAACACAACTCTGTCCCCGCAATAACACAATTTCCCCTAGGGCCGGCCGGTGGCCGGCAGCTGCACAAGGCTTCCCCTACCTCCCTGCAAAGCGGTAGAGATTTGCCGCTCGCAGCGCCGTTCCCCGGTGACCCCCTCTGGCCAGACGCAAGGCATCTGGCCAGAGGGGGTCACCAGGGAACTGCGTGGCGAGCAGCAAACCTCCGCCGCTTTGTACGGAGGCAGAGGAAGCTTGGGGAAACCCAGCCGCCAGCTGCAAGGCCCCTCCCCTGTCCTTCCCGTCCCTTCTCCAGAGCCAAACACCTCCCATCCCTGCTATAACCCAGTTCTCTTTCTCTGCCAACCTTATGTCCCGGTCCCAGCTGCTAACAAGTGCAGGCTGGAGCTGCAAGCGCACATGCGCTTGAAACGCAACCTCCCACCTTTTCCGTTATTTTCAATGGGAAAATTGACCCCGCATAGCATGTTTTCACTTAGCAATATTATTTTCTGAAACGTATCTACCGTGTTAAATGAGGAATTACTGTATAAGTATCTTTGTTAAACAATCTCTTTCACAGCTAAATAAATACAAGGTGACACTCTGCATATGCCTACACTGAAATTAAAAACCTAGAGTCGGCACAAATCACCTTGCTCTACTTGCAGAGCTTCGGTAACTGCGAGCCTGAGGGTATGTCGTTACTACGGGCTGGATCGATGGGCAGCGATCCATCCAAATTGATCACTAAGCACTCTCTTGTCGACTCTGGTGTGCCATCAAAATGAGAAGAGTAAGTGGAGTCGAGGGGAGAGCACCAGTTGTTGACTTACCGCTGTGAAGATACCGTGGGAAGCAGAAAAGTATGTGCAGTGGCACAGTGGATAAGGTATCTGACTCTGGAGCTACATTATTAAGGGACTATTATTATTATTGTGTAACTTAGGTCGACGGCCCACAGCAACATATACAAGAACTACACCATAACTGAACACCGCTTAGTCTGTGCTCTGTGAGCCTGAAACAACTGACATGGTCTTGCTGTCGGTTTTAAATTCCAGCATAGACATACCCACTGAATACATTGATGAGACCTGAAGAAGAGCTCTGTGTAAGATGAAAAGTTTGTCTCGCTCACCCACTAAATCCTACTTTGTCTCTTGAAATAGTGTAAAAAAAATAATACACACACACACACACACACACACACACACACACACACACACACACAC